TGGTAAAGTTTAATCTCTGACAAATAAAAAGACGCAACAAATTGACCTGGTGGTGTATTTGACCTCGAAAGCTACTGCATAGCAAACATGAACAAAATGATTTATAAACAGACTATAACTACAAACTAAACAAATTCTACTCAAATTAATTCTACAGTTTTGCTTTCTCAGGCGATCCTGTGCATAAAACTGAAATTTAAACAGGTCGGCATTTTACCGGTAAACCGGAAAATCAATGCATAAATTAACTTGTCAGAAGTGTGAATTGCCTCCTGCCAGTACGGTAACGGCCTTGCCGGTACGGCTAATGACCTTCGGGTACGGTAAAGCAGCGGCCGGTACGGTAAAGCAGCGGCCGGTACGGTAAAGCAACGGCCGGTACGGTAAAGCAACGGCCGGTACGGTAAAGAAACGCATGCCGCAGGAGACTCACAGGAAACCGGCTTGGTGGTAATGATCAGTTCCCTTAATCAAAATTGTCTATCACCAAATGTGTACAACACATTATATTAAGTATGGAAATGCCCCCCAAAATATTTTCATATCTGTCGAATCCCACGTGATGTTTGACGCCACTACAACACGCTATGACCTTTTAAATTTCGCTGATTTAACGTTTCAGACATATTCAGTGGGTTTTAAATTCACGGTTTTATCCTTTAGATAATGTGTTCTATACTAAATTTTACATATTCCCTGGGTTTTAATTTAGTGCATTTTCCAGTCAGCGAAATAAGTAAAATTAAAACCCAGTGAATAATTAACCTTTTTACAGTACTTTGCTGTGACTTTTGGTAATTTTTTGTGAATCCCAAAGAAGTTTATTGCTAGAAATTATCTCAACGCTATAACACATAAATATATCTGTTGCCATTTTCATTTTTGTTTACTTGTTTGTTTGTTTGTCCAAACGTTTTAATTAATATACATGTAATTAATCACATGATGTAATGTTTTATATGTTTTTTTGAAATAAACCCTATACAATCAGTTATAAATTCTGCGATGGCCTGGCCTTTGAACTATCACGATAGTTTTCCTACAGAAAATAAATAAATTTTGCAATTTATCATTCTGTACCAGACTGTAATAAATGATACTACATATATTAGTTGAAAGATATTCCTGCAAACAATTTCCACATAAATTGTCCATGGTTTAAGAAAAGACAGAAGAGACTCATTTGGCATATCATCTCTTGCCTATGAAAATTCTTCTTGGATTTGAAGATATCGTGCGTGGGTGGTCCAGAATCAAATATAAAATGATTGTAGAAGATGGGTAAAATAATCCTAGTACAATATTTGCTACTTAATTTGTCCCTGAACTTCAAATCTAAATTACTTACCAGTGAACCATTACGCCGCCCTTTCGAATTCCATCCTCAATAAACGCTATACACTCTGGAAAATGACTGAGTAAATCTTTATCGGGAAGATCGGCCACTTGTATAAAGTTATAAGTGAAATTATTTGAGTGAATTTCCAGTGGTTCCAATTCGATCGTCAAAATGTGGGTTATTTTAGCTGCCCGCAAGGCCTGTACATCATAAGCGTCTGCACGACAGCCAAGATACAGACCTGGTCGGATTCGGTGCATAATTACTGCTGTCCAACTTCAGTCTTGAGGTTGGCAATCAGGTCAAAAAAATGTGTGTCACGGAGACGCCTGTGACTGTGATGTTGTCCCCTCGGTGCCTTCTGGAACTCAGAGCACAGTACTTGAGCCCCCGATAACCACTGATTTTGAAAGAAAATCACTCTTCGACAACCGATGACTTTGTAGCTTAAATATGCACAATTGAACAGTTTTATAACCGCATTGCCTGTGTAGAAGCTGTTACACAGACTTACGAAATTCGACAAGAGTGACCTCGTATGACCCAAACCCCCTAACATACCTAAGATTCGTCAGCCATTAGTTATTCGCTTATGGATTAAGCACATTTGTGGCAGTGACCTATAAGGTCAACGCTGGAAATTTTAAAATTCTTATTAAAAATGTATTTTTAAAAATGTTGTACTGCACAGTTATATTATATATATATTGTACTGCACAGGTATATAGTTTATCCGGTTTGCCGGTAGAATTCATATTCAGATTTGTTCAGTTACAAATAGAATTTAGGATTCGTGCTTGCAGTTGAGTTACCATAGTGCAAATTTCTCATTGAGACGTCGACAAATCCGTGAATAACATTCTTGTGCGTACTGTGCCCTTTTAATGCGAATACTAGAGTTAATGTGATTAAAATAAGATCTTAGTTTATGTGTGTTTTTTCAAATATGTTTTTAACTGTTTATTTTTATTATACACTTATTTTATTTAAATAACTTAAATTCAAGTCATACAATACAACACATTTTAATCAAATTGCACCACTGTTAGACTTTTAGATTTTTCTAACTTATTTTATTTAAGGTGTTTTCTAAATTAATTCATGAGTCCCAGTTTGCAGTATGTTTGGAACCTTGCTTTACGCCCTCTATATACTAAATATTTTTATGTTGAACACTGTAATAAGGAAGTACCTGTCAAAGCACAAAACACGTTTGTTAAGTGCATTCATTTATTTCAGAAAAGCATTTGATAGAATTGACCACATAGAGTTTTTTTATAAATTTCTCAGACTTAATACGAATAGCAAAATGTTAAAACTTGTGTGAAGTCGTATATTAAGGACTGGTCACTTTTTCGGCTGGGCCTATTTTGAAATTGAATAAAGGGGCATGCTCTTTTTCATAGCCTGGGGGCAACCGATTTATTTTCTTATGTACAGTCTGAGAGTAAAAATACACAGTTTAAACAGGCACAATATTTACAGTTTAATTTTATATTGCACAAAAACATTCAAGTTCATGAACTTTCTTTTAACACTTTCAAAACTAAAAACTTTTATTTTTCCACAAAATGTAAATTGTATTGTGTTTGTTAATTGAAATAAACATTCAATGCTTGCACTCAAATAGTTCTCTTCTTTAAATAACTCAACTCATCATAATGTCTGTATTAATATATATTAATAAAATTAATATTGCTCTGACGATTTTTGACGTCAAAATTGTACTAACAATGAATTATGTTTTTTTGGAATTTAGGGATTTGATGCTGGAGGAAAAGTCGATATCTCTTTTTGCAAGTATATATTAAATGTTGGTTATAATGACTGCAACGTCGCTGCACTTGGTCATGAACTTGGTAAATTTCCGCTGAGAACCCTTATGTTGTCTCGTATTGTTAGATAATGTAAAATGACTAATATTCACTGGGTTTAAATTTCACTGATTTACCATTTCAGGCATATTCAGTGGGCTTTAAATTCACGGTTTCGTCATTTAGATAATGTGTTCTATGCTAAATTTTACATATTCACTGTGTTTTAATTTAGCGCATTTTTCCAGTCAGCGAAATAAGCTAAATTAAAACCCAGTGAATAATTACCCCCTTTACAGTATTGGTTAAACATCAGGATGGTGACGTCATAGATTAAATACTGTTATAATTACCAATATGAAATGACCGAACAGGGTTACAAGTGATGGGCATATAATGTAAAAGAACTGTTGTTTAGTTTTGGTTTCGGTATAGCCTGAGATATGCAAGGGGTCGGCAATGTAAATATGTTATTGCTGCACAAAAATGCTCAATAAGTCTGCAATCCTTTTCCATGCTTGACACATATCGTCTCTACAAAAAATAATCTAGTTTCAAAAAAAATATCTGTCGTTTATTGATAATTTTTTTTTTTAGAAGTTCTCCATACAGATTGCGAATGGAGAGTGGTAGGGCGCAAACTATTCCCAGAGAAAAAAGAATGTCCACTTTACAGAAAGTGGAAGACGAATATAATTTTTGTTGCGAATGTCCCTTATACGAACCACAGTCCCTCTATAGAGGGATTGTATACAAACATTCGAGAGAAAAAATTCTCTCCTTTACTATTACAAAAAACATCATTTATTAAATCTATTTCACTTTTAAATTCTCATAACCCAATTGTGCTTCAGTCTTTATCAAAGTATATATTCTATGGGTTCAAATTAAGAGACAATATTATTTCCAATGTTGACTAAGATGGCATGATCATTCCTTTTCGTTTGGTGAACTTTTTGATTGTATATATATATATATATATTTATTGAATAATTACTGAATTATAAAATAAAATAAAATGCTGAATTGTTCTCATTCCCTAACATGTAATAAAGCCAATGCCCAATTTGTTTTCTCTCATTATCCTCAACAACCTCCGGACCAGCTCTAGTTTTCAAATAATAATTTATTGTCACATTAGTCGTTTTGAATTAATAATAATAATAATAATAATAATAATCTATTTATAAAAAAATATAAAATTTATTTAATTAAACAATTTATGTAATGGTACGCATCCTCATACGCTTTTGTGAAACGAAATAGAATTTCGCACTACAGCCTGAATCCGAAACTAACATCAATATCCTAAAGGTCGTGGCCGCAGTAACTGCACATGAAATGGCTGACGTAACGACAATGCTGGTGGACTTCAGTGCGTATAATTTACAAAGGGATTCGCCAGATTCGAATTGTTTTCAGAAGCTCGTAGACGATGTATATCTTGCTTTGACCACCACAGGATTTCTTTACCTAACAAATCACGGAATCCCCCCCGATGTAGTAAGTTGAACACAACAACTTTGGGTTGACCATAGCTGCAGTTCTGTAGCTCGCTTGGTTTCGCTGTCTCCGCGGAAAACTTCAGCGAAATCCCCTAGTCCTGCGTACAGTGCTGTG